CTATGTCCATTGCTCTGGTGAGAGTTACATTGTGCTGCAGAAAGAAAGTGGCACTTTGAAATTGTAATAAAATCTTGTCCTGCTCTCCCTTGCAAGTGCTGAACACAATTTGCATGCTGCACTTTTCCATTGAGAAATTTAACAAGATGCATGTTTTGCATTTAAATATACAGTGTGCAAAAAGCAGTGCAACTGTTTCATGAATTTAAATTAGTCGACAATGTCCACATATTTTTAAGCTATTTGAGCACAGCGTCTCCCATTTCATTCAGGTTGACTAAAAATGGGTTTAATCTCAAAAGCGAAGAAGAAATGTCAAACACAAGATAAATACCAAAAGGTGTGTCTATAGTCTTGAATTAAATAAAAGTGGCATTTGCAAAATGTCAACAGATCTGACCCAAAGCCAATTAGATTGTTTACTCCCATACCTCATCTTAAAAATCATTCCTTATTGTTGAAGGTGAGAGGGAAGAGACACGTCGGGGATCATCCGAATGATGTCAGAGGTTAAACCAAATAACAGTCGCTCCATCACACTGAAAAAACGATCCATGACAGTTTGATATACAGACGCCATCTAGGAGAGCCATTGATGGCCTATAATTATACAACTAGTCTTAAAGCGAGACCCTCGCCCGTGGGACTCCATATATCAGGATTCATACGCCCCCAAATAGCCCCACAATCCTGTGATGGATATCCAGCACAGATAACAGCAGAGAAGGGAAAACCATATATCTGCAGGGACTTTATAGCTTTCACATCCATCCACTGTCAATGTGCTACAACCAAGGCCAGAAGACTTTATTATGCATACAGGAGGGATTGACGAGAAATAAGGTATTGTTGAAAGGATAGGGTTGAAATTCTGATAGCATTTCCAGCCACAATAAACACTGAAACACCACAACTATGGAAAGTGAAGGGGTTTTAAAGGATATTTTTTTAATTCGAGCCACAGCTGATTGATTTAAACCCATTTTTTTCCTGGATCAAACATAAAATAGCATAAGTACTATTGTGAGAGGAAATAAACGGCTTTGAGAAGAGAATAAGCAGGGTTTTGTAATTAATACAGCTGAAAAAGCACATGAGCATCACGACATAATGAAACGGGAAGTGTTTAAGAGTCATCGCAGCATACGTATTAAGCTAGGGGACACGCTAGGTATCCAGTGTTTTATCCCATACACACACAATGGCTATGTTCAGTCATGCGGTTACAGCTTTCATTACAGAACAGCAGGCTTCCAGGTTTTTGGAGGAGTGTTTAATTGGCAGTGCCGTGTTTGACAAGCATCCCGAAGAAATGAATTTCGGCCCACATGTTTGGACTTTCCATCCCCATTGTGTCCAGCTCACAATTGGTAAACATCTCTCACATTGTCTTTGTTTGGCTGCATTGAATTGCTGTGCGCGCCGATGGGGAATTGCTGGACAGAAAGCAGACAACGGCTGGGCACGACTTCGCAGATTCTCCAAAAATTAACTCTAGAGATAAAGTATCTGGGGTTCCTCCACATCTACACTTCATCCCGATGAAAAGCTACCCAGGCTGTCAGCAAGTCTGTTCAATTTGCAAATCCTAATAGCTACTACAACTTAAGCAGCTTGACACATTTGAGAGGAAAATGAATTGATAAATCTCTATTTAACTTCAGGTTGCTGCTATCATCCTGTGCTGAGATGAAGTCTGCAAGTTGTAATGGCCACTGCTCATTTTTTCGGCTCTACAGGATGGCAAATGTTTCTTACAGCTTTCAAAATCCTCAATCCCTCCAGCACTTTATAGTAAAATGCCTGTAAGTCAAAAAGCCGACAAGCAAATCAATTACCTGCTCTGAAGAACCAGTCAGATGTTTTAGCCTGCAGTTTCCAGGGTTAAAAATAAAGTAGCAGCTTAAAGAAACAGATTGTTCACTCAAGAACGGATATTCTGTCATTCTTTACTCACCTTCAAGACGTTCCAAACCCGAATGAGAAGGAAAAGACATGTTTGGCAGGATGTTCATGCTATTCTCTCCCATACAATGACAGTCAATGGTGACCAGGGGCTGTCAAGCTCCAGAAATGACAAGACGGCAACATAAAAATTCATGAAGCATCATAAAAACAGCAGTCCATACATACCGTGCACTACATTCCAAGTCAGAAGGCATATGATCAATTCTCTATAATCTCTCATTTGTGTAATGTGAATATGAGAACATCCAAATTGGGCATGTCACAAATAAGGTAAAAGACACAGAAAAACCAAAGTCTTTTCGCAAACCTTTGAATGAGTGAATCAGATTTGAGATTCAAGACTTGAGGCTCATTCACACCAAAAAATGATAATATATTAGTGTCCACACCAATGAACAATTACATTTAGTTATTATAAGCGCAAACTGCAGTGATGTCGTCTGCCGCTTTAAATGCTCAACCTCTTTAAATTCAGCTGCATTCTGATTGGCTGATTGTCAACATTTTTATCAGCTGGACAATCAACAATATCGTTCGTCTCTTTCATTATCATTATAGCTGTGGTATGGACATACACTCTAAAAATAAAGGTTCCAAAAGGTGGTTTTCACAGAGAAGAACCATTTTGGGTTTCCCAAAGAACCATTATTTTCAAAGCACAAAGAACACATAACCATCTGAGGAACATTTTTCCACTTGTACAATGGAAATGTTCTTCAAAGGTTCTTCGTGGAACCACAGATGACAATAAAGAACCTTTACTTTCAAGAGTGAACCTATTCTCGTAGAATTAGAATGTTTATTAAAACATATAGTCATCATTCTTGGTGTGAACAGCCCTGTAGATTGTAGTGCATGGTATGTGTGGGCTCTTTTTAAGGTCCTTTTGGTGACATTCACTTTAATTGTACACAAAATGGCTTCCAAACATCTCTTTTTGTGTTCCCCAAAAAAAAAAAAAGAATATCATATGATTTTGGAAAGACATGACAGTTGGTAAATAATGACAGAAAGAGAGTTTTAAAAATCACTGCAGCTGTTTTGTTCCAGAGTGTAATCGTGTGTGTGTCTGCAGGAGTAGACCTTAAAGAATAACACGGGTGGGCCGACAATGAAAAATCTCCAGGAACAAGGAGCTAATGAGTCCATCTGACCATACCATACAATAATGTTACTGCCTGCAACTTAGCTTACTGTGACTCCTTTGGCCATTATATAACACACACACCACATTGCTGAAGGAAAGTGAAAAAATGCAAATCCTTCTTTTACCTGTACGCCTGTCTCACAGGACCCTTAAGCCTATTTTTAACCACTGCACAACATACCAGAGGATTCACCTATTATACTCAACTATAAAAATCAAGGCACAAAGAGCAGCACGAGGAATTACAAATCATGTCCATCAAAGTCTGAACACTCCAGCACAGCAGGTGAACAGTTTTATTCGTCCCATGAGATCCCACCCCTCCTCTCTCCCAAGTGAATATTTTATTAATAAACATCAGTCAGAAATGGTTGGCAGACGAATTCACGTTGATTAATTAACAACCCCTAAAATAACTTATGCAGCACAAAGCAAACAAGCCCAGGCAGTTTGATAAACTGGCACGGCACTTCAGTTGTGCTGCGTGTTAAAATGACTCGGTTACACAAGACGGGCAAATAAAGAAGTGCCATTAGAACAAGCAGCTCGTGTTGATGTTGACGCTTCAAAAGCAGGGCTTGACATATTCCTGAAAGAGCATTGTATTATGCACACTTCACACCCCCACTGAGAGAAGGTTAGAGGATGCCACGTGAGGATGATAGCAGTAATAAACAGCTGTTACGGCTGTGATCCCATCCTTAAACCTCTATAATCAAGATTGCTATAAACAGCATGTTATGTACATTCCCCCATAAATGCTCACAGCAGATTACAGTGGCTGTGAAATGCAGGCAGTGGCGAGATATAGATTTGTTTTCAAACAAGCTTTGAAATAGACAGTGAGAGATAAAGAAAGCAAGGATGCAACACCCTTCAGCACGCTGAGCTCCACCGTCAGATCTGTGATGTGCTCTCTCTGCAGTGAATGCATGAACTTCCAGCATTCCTGAGTGAAATTTTCTGGCAGACATGCAGTCGCTCATACATGGAGGAGCTGAGCTTAATCCCTTAGTTCTGTGTGAGCCGCATAATAGAAACAAATGTATTCCCTCGTGTGCAGAGGGCATGGAGAGAGGTATCATCTGACAGTGGTACTATATCACTCTGAACGCTTGAGAACTAAAGGGGCTTATTCTTTACTAACAATAAACTTATTTTAAGCAGATTAATCTGTCAATATTTTGGTATTGTCAGATTATCGGCATCCGCTTGGATGGCTGTCGGTTGCAAAATTTACCAAAGGATTTTCTGCTTTCAAATCATTTTGAGTGATTCATAGTAAATATTGTGTATAGCAAATGCTTCTTTAAATTCACCAATTTTGTACATTTTATTTGTTGTCACTAAAATTGTACTTGTTCTGACAAAGAGTATGCAATGCTGACCATTTTTCTCTTTGTATATCAATATTTAAATATTATAATAATAATAATTATTATTATATTATTATTATTAAAGGACTCTCTTCTGTATGTGCAATTATTATGGTCTAACTTCTATTCTATTATGGTCTTTTTTGAATATATATATATATATATCAAAAATATGTAGTCATGCTCCTTAAATCCAAAGCAATTAGCTTTAAGACACAGAATAGTCAAGATGACAAATAATACAATTTCTTACTATAATTGAGTCAAATATTTGTTTAAACAAATAGTTTATTCCTCAAGGTTTGAACGCATGAAGTGTTCCGAGATTTGTCAATAGAGGCATGTGTTCCAAAATATTCAGCTCTGAGTAATATCTCATGGAATTTGTTTGCTGCCTATATAAACGCAATGAGACCTGCATATGGTCATATTTATAGTTTTTGACATGCCTGAGCATAATGCATCGACACAGGTCTAATAAATCCCTACATGATGCGCGTGCAACATACCTGCGATTTATGCTGCTGTCCATCCTCGAGTTCTGAAACACTGTTCATGATTTTCCATCGATCATTTACCATTCTCTGGAATCCTTACCATCCGAGAGTTGATTTCATGGGCATGAGGAGAGAACGGGACTGTCAGTCTTAAATTCCAGCATCCAAAAAAGAGAAAAGGGAGACAACACAACAGTCTACGGGAACTAAAACTACTTCAGAAGATGATCCGCACAAACCTACTGAAAACCGGGACACAGAACTAGAGATCCACACTCATTTTGTAAAAGAAAATTATACGTACTTCAAGGGACTTGTCCCTCACCCCAAAAAAGAAACAAACAAGAAAATGCAGTCCGAAAGCAGATCCGATCTCCTTAACTGAGGCGAAGGTGTGACGGTTTGCGGATAGTGCGTTCCGTTCGTTGGCAGGTATTCCTTAGATATAAAACTTTCCCTGTTAAGTCTATGAGAAACAAAAAGACGCGGATTTAGATAATAAACCATAAAGTTATGCGAAATAACTGTGTGCTGGGCGTCCGTTTGATTTGCTTCATTCCTGTGGTGTAAGGACACGTTTGTGGTGGAGAGCTCCTGAAATCCGCCCCCCTCCCTATCTTGCGCTTACACCGTGTCTACTAGCGATGTCCGATCCATGAGCGAATCGTTCTTTCAGAATCGGATCTTCTCCATGAATCATCCGAACCGGTTCACTAATCAATTCGCTCACCGCACTGGACTGAACGATTCGGTCACGAGGAGTGAATAACTCTATGACTCAATTAACCGGAAAACGAACATGTCCGAATCACAATGAGCAGACAACCGATGAGTTAGTTGGCTGACAGTTAAAAGCATTTGGAGCCTATCGAGGATTTTTCTGATGGTGCGAATAGCAGAAAAGTTACAAATAAAACGTAGGCTACTGTAATATTTTTAATAGGCATAGGCCTATGTTGACAAATATGTCCGTTTGACATACAAATGACAATGACAAATTGTTGACAAAATGACAAATTGTTTGTCAATAACGGTGACAAAAAGTTTGCTGCTTCAGTATTTGTAGATTATTTTTCCACATGTTTCTATGGTATACTGAAAAACAATGATAAGCGTATCATAAGTTTTTAAGGCTTTTATTGGCATATATATATATATATATATATATATATGAGTCAATACAGTGTTGACCCTTGTTCTTCATAATCTCTGCAATTTGCTCTGGCATGCTGGATATTAGTTCTGGGCCAAATCCTGACTGATGACGATCCATTCTTGCCTTATTAGTTCTCGGAGTTGATCACAATTTGTGGGCTTCTGCTTGTCCACTGGCCTTTTGTGGACTGACCACAGGTTCTTTATGGGATTGAGATCCGGGGAGTTGCCTGGCCACAGATCTAAAATTTTAATGTAATGATCTTCGAGCCACTTCTTTATCACTCTTGCTTTGTGACATGGTGCTCCATCATGCTGGAAAATGCACGGATCATCACCAAATTGCTCATGGATCGTTGGAAGAAGAAGAAATCGCTCTTGCAGGACGTTTTGATACCATTATTTTTTCATGGCAGTGTTTTTGGGCAGAATTAAGACTCCCTTGGGTGAAAAGCAACCCCACACATGGATGGTCTCAGGATGCTTCACTGTTGAGGTGCAATATTCTTTGTAGCAATTTCCTTGCATGTGAGGCCATTTTGATGCAAAGTGATGATGGCTGCATGTTTCTTTGGAGGTAACCATTGCTAACAAGAACAATGATTGGAAGTGCTTCTTCCCTCCTTTTATAGCAATCAGTCTGCTCTTACAATGTAATTAGTATGATAGTGATTTCACCTGACTTGTACTCATTCACACTTTCACATGTTTCAGCTTAAGCAGCAAACTTTGCAAAACACAAAATTTATGTCACTGCCAAAACTTTTGGCCATGACTGTACATATTAACAGGCACATGCAGTGGCGTGCACACATACTGTAGACATCAAAGGGGTCTTGAGCACCTGCCCTTTTTCTTCCTCCAGAGAAAGTGCCCTTTTTTCTGGGGAGCTTTTTTTTTATTTTTATATATATATATATATAAATGAATATCTGTGCACAGCTTTCCCTGTCAAACAAATAAAAAATAAAAATATCAGGTCGGGTCGGGAAATGTTGAGACTGTCGATGCCTTTCTCCCCTCCGCGTTTCCGCGCAGCACAGCAGTGTAGCACACATTGATTGGCACATGCGCATCACAGACAGACAGAGAGCCACAGAAGTGAAGCCCTCCCTCCCCAGTTGTGTTTGTCTTGGTGTGGAGGTGAGTGGGTGTGAACAAAAGACTAAGCTACCTGTGCCTCGAATTTACAGCTAATTATCCAAAAGACAAAAGGCAATTATAGTTA